CAGAATCAATAAACGAACCTACAGTAGCATCACCCAAAGAGTGAAGGACAGACTCACAGGGTGGAAAGCTAAATCATTATCGCTAGTCGGAAGAATCATCATTACCAAAGTTGTTCTCAATTCAATCCATGCATACACCATGCAATCAATTTTAATTCCCAAAGGAACATGCAATGAGCTTGAAAGACTTACAAGAAATTTCATTTGGGGAAACACTAATGAGCAAAAGGGAGTACACCTTGTGAACTGGGATAATCTATGTAAACCTATCAAAGGAGGGGGTCAAGGCTTAAAAACCTAAGATTCCAAATGAGGCTTTCATTTTTAAACTAGCTTATAAACTTACCAATCGAACTAATCTTTTATGGGTGCATGTGATGAGAAGCAAATACAAAATGAAAGAAATTCTACCCGAAGAGCTTTAAAAAAGGGGATGATCGCCTTTATGGAATCACATATGCTCTTTGTGGACAAAATTCAAGCAAAACATATGTTGGAATATTGGAAATGGTAATCATATTCGTTTCTGGCATGACATGTGGCTAGTTAACAAAAGCCCTCTATCCAGATTTTGCAATCAACCTTGGGAAGTAGAAAATGACAAGTCAAAAGTCAAGGAAATGATAAACCAAAATGGAAACTGGGATTGGAACAAACTTACAATGTTACTGCAGGCCCAAGCCATTAATATGTTGAAAGCCACACCTCCTTTAGTGGAAGAAAACATTGAAGACTCTCCGGGTTGGATTCCCTCGGAGAAAAGGGTTTTCACAGTCAAATCTGCATACAAGTGGATTGCTAACATTAATAATGCTATGGAAGATAAGATTTGGGGCATCATAGCCAAGCATAACAACATTCCCAGAGTCAAAATTTCCTATGGCTAATTGGAAGAAATAGAGTTCTGACCAACTCGGAAAGAGCGTGAAGACATATGACAATGGATGCAAGTTGCCCTATGTGCAATTATGAATCAAAAGACATTAATCACTTGCTGAGGTTTTGCCCTAACTCGTTGCCAATATGGACTGACCTGATTGACCCCCAGAAGATTAACAACTTTCTGAACTGCAACCTTAAGGAATGGATCATTGAGAACCTTGAAGCAACTCAGTCCTTGTCGCCAAGAATCGCGAACTGACCAAACTTCTTCAGCTATGTAATCTGGTACATATGGAAGAGAAGAAATCAAATGATTTTCGACCCAAAGATGAATGAAAGGGATTCGGTTATCCAACAAGCTAGTAGACTTACCCAAGAATTGCAGAGCTTTGATTCTACTAATTCTGGCAGCACACAAACCAAAGATAATGTCCGATGCAAATGGCAAAAACCAACAATCAATTGCTGTAAAATAAACACAGATGGAACCAAACGAAAGATCAATGGAGAAGATATGTGTGGGGTTGTTGCAAGAGATTACAATGGTAATTAGTGCTTGGGTTTTAGGGAAAAAATATGGATCTGTTCTATTTTGGAAGCAGAGTTGTGGGGCATCCATAAGGGCTTAAGAATTTCTTGGATGATGGGAGAAAAGAGCGTGATTCTAGAACATGATAATAGAGAAGCTATCAACCTAATCAAGAATAGATCAATCGATTACAGGAAGTTTATTATTCTGTAACACATCGAGAAAATGCTAAAGAGAAACTGGTTAGTAAAACTGAATCACATACCTAGAGAGGTCAATCGCGTCGCCAAGCAGATGTGAAAACACAACGAAGACACCAATTTTCTAAAAGATTGCCCTAAAGAAGCTGAGGAACTACTGCTAGTGGATAAAACGGGAAACTAAGCGACCCCTTTTACCTATTTCAACCAAAAAAATATACTCAGTAAATTTTCTAATTTTATTCAACACAAAATAAAATTTTTTACTTTCAATTAAATTGAAAAATCCCATCAGTTTGAATAAGATTAAATTTTAAGATAGAATAATCTCATTAATTAGATTAACCCCCAATAATAGTAGTGGCCTCCACGAAGAAGCTACCATCTCGACCTATCCTCATTTAATAGATTTAATCATGTTTTTGTAGCAACAAATGGACCACGTACATCTCAAATAATACGACAAGGTCCACTCTACAGTATATTACCTTCGCTTTTTAAGTTTTAAAAAAGCCTGCATGTGGCATTCTCCATCTACCCCTTAGTGGACACTGCCGAATGCAATAAAAGGCAGTGGGCGCCGATCCAAAGCCATTGAGGGATGGACTGAAAATTTGGACCAACGTGTTCCTGACAAAACTCGTTTTTCGAAATTGAGAAAATTTTACCGTGACAGTCTAATGTTAATAAAAGGCGTTATCGATTTTATTATTATTTTTTTAATATTTTTAATTAAAAAATTACATGAAACATTATTATTTTTATTTAAAATATTAATGATTTTAACATTTTCGGTAAAATATATAATAATAATAAAATCGATAGAAAAAAATAATATTTTAGGTAGCGCTTTATCAAACCCAGTAAAGCGCCCAATAATAATAAAATCGATAAAAATAATAATGTTTTTGGTAATTTTTTACTGATTTTGTTAAAAAAAATAATAACAAAATCGGTAACATTTTTTTAACTGTATATTAAGGTTGTTGCAGGCAAACTTTCCCTCGAAATTGGCATCTGTATAAGATAATCAAAGCAGTGATTAGCAAAAAAAAGCATTGCGCATATGGACATAATTGCCGAAACATACGGAGAGCGTCTTCAATGGGATGACAATTAGCACATAGGCATGTAAATGAACTGAACGTTCAGCGAACCGTTTGTGAATCGTGCGGCGGGAAGTTCGTTTATGTGCGTTTATTTATTAAATGAACGAATATGAACAATATTTTTTGTTCGTTTAATTAAATGAACGAACATGAACATAGGTCTCGTTCGTTCATTTACGTTCGTGAACGTTAGATTATGTTCGTTCGGTTATGTTTGTTTATGTTCGTTCGATTATGTTCGTTTATGTTCATTCATTTATGTTTAACTCAATCTTCTTAAATCAATTTTGGTGACCAATTTGTAAGTATCTTAAAAATATTAATTAATCTGATATTCTGATGACCAACTTCATAATTAACCCAATTTTATTTGGAGATTAAATCCAATATGTTAACCTGTGAGGCACATCGCACCTATATTCATTTCCCCCTTTTTCCCCAAACCCTAGTGTTCACTAGAGAGTGGAGACGATCGTTGAAAGCTTCAAAACAAGTTATATTATAGTGCAATATGATGTTTTACATGTATGTTTTCATCTCTTTCTCTGTTTTATTTGACTTAATAGTTGATATGTAAAGTTATTGCAGGTATCTTCACATCTAAAACTCAAGAAAACATCATACTTCTTTCTAGAAATAGATGGGAAGATAAAGGTAACAATCGGAAGTATATGAACATCAATAAAGAGAAAAATATATAGAATTTGCCAGAAAACAAAACAAAGGTTTCTATGCAATTTCTGAAAAGAGTGTAATAGCGAAAAATGATTGTTCATATGTAATCATGGACCACTAAGATAAATGTTATAGCGTTAAATTAAAGTTGTGTGAATCATTTAATATCTTTAAAAGATTGATCAAAATATTTAATATCTTCAAACATTTCATCACTACTAATAAACTCTTACGCTATTTATCACTGTAGATTTGGTTATTTGCATTGTCGACTATTTTTCATGAAAGAACAATGGAAGGTAGGGTCTCCAACGTTTATGTTCGTTTATGTTCGTGTTCATTTATGTTCGTGTTCGTTTATGTTCTTGTTCGTTTATGTTCGTTTATTTATTAAATGAACGAACATGAACATATTATATTCCTTAATAAACGAACATGAACAAAAAAATTTTGTTCGTTTATGTTCGTGTCCGTTTATGTTCGTCTATTTATTAAATGAACGAACATGAACATACCTCCGTTCGTGTGCGTTCGGTTCGTTTACAGGCCTATTAGCACAAATAGTGTATAAACGTGGACCATAAGAACGAATACCGAGTGATACATCTTTTTCCATAAGATCAGACTTAGAAATATTTTTAAAAATAAGTATATATTTATATATTATTGATATAAATTTTTTATTTATGATGAATATAAATAAAATTTTAAATTAAATACGTCCAGTAAAAATACTAATCAACTGATAAAATTTTAGATTTTAAGATAAGAAAGTATCCACCCTGAAAAAGAAAACATACATCCTGGGCTAGGGGAACTCTGCAAACCCTAATCCAGTCCATTCTACCCATCATGGACCCAACCAACCCTTCAATTCGAGATCAAGTTTTCCAACTGAGAAAATTAACAATCAAGGATGAATCAAGGGAGTTTGTGGGGACGGTCTTCTCTTAAATTTTTAAAATTTTTATATTGGTTAAATATTTCTTTTGATAATTTGTTTTCACCTTAAAAAGTTTTATGAGTTCAATCTTTAGTGTAAATATTGCTCCCTTAAAAAATTTTAAGATCAACTCTCTAACATAAAATCTTGTGTCCGTCCCTATTGAGTATAATAATTATGGATGATCTAATTTTTATAAGTTACACCATTGGTGCTGCATATTATAGATGTGGTTTAGTTAGATTGAAGATTGACGTTCAGACATATCACAGGAAAAGAAAATATGATGACAGATGGGATGACAAAACTGGCATGACAGTTACCGTTTGAAATTCGAAAGTTCAACTACCCATTGAAGGAAGTGAGAAACTGGCTGAAGCACAACACGATCACACAAGAGAGTCTGCTATTACTTTCACTCAAAAAATTGATCTTAATATAGAATGATATAACCCGATCTTATAAAATTAGATTTTTTTAATTTAAATTAATAAATAAAAAATTAAAAACCACGCCTTTTTCAAAAATCAAATGAAAACATATTATGATTCCTTAAATACTAAATTTAGAAACTGCATCAACAAATGTACCAAAAAACTACAAGCCCAAATTATTTGGACCGTTAAAAAGGCAGCCCATTGATCAATACCCAACCGCATTGAAACAAATCCAAACCTCACCAAATAAAGCCATTCAAAACCCTAACCCTTCTTTTTCATTTTCTTACTTAATTAGTAGCGGCGCCTCCTCCGTTCACGACCACCATCAAGCTTCAGCAATGGTCTGTTTCCGGAAATCTTCATTGATTCGAAAACAAAAAAGAAGAACGTTTTATACTTACTGTTTTTTATTTGTTTTGTCTTTGCATTATCAGGGAATCGATTTAGTCGCAGGAGGTAAGAGCAAGAAGACCAAAAGGACAGCTCCCAAATCCGATGATATTTACCTCAAGCTTCTCGTCAAGGTCTCACGTTTTTTCTTCATTTCTACCATAAAAGTCTTCTTTCTTTTTCCCCCGAATAAATGACCTGATTTTTGTTTTGGGCTTTAGCTTTATCGTTTCCTTGTAAGAAGAACTGGGAGCAAATTCAATGCCGTTATATTGAAGCGCTTGTTTATGAGCAAAGTTAACAAACCTCCACTGTCTCTTTCTAGGCTTGTTCAGTTCATGAAAGGAAAGGTATTTGTTTATTTACATTATCACAAAAATCTTGGTTTTTGTTTAGGATCTTTATATTATCATTGGATTTTGGTTTAATCCATATATATATTGTAGGAGGACAAGATTGCTGTGGTAGTGGGCACAGTGACTGATGATATAAGGGTCTATGAGATTCCAGCTTTGAAGGTTACTGCTCTTAGGTTTACCGAGACTGCTAGAGCTAGGATTGAGAAGGCTGGTGGAGAATGCTTAACTTTCGATCAGCTTGCTCTCAGGGCTCCTTTAGGTCAAAACACGGTATGTGATTCTTCTGACTTTTTTTTATCTTTGGTACTCTTCTTTGTTCGAATTATGCATATTTATATATTATTGTTTGCATTGGAGTTCTGTTTTTGTGAAGTATTCATTTCTGCTTTGGAATAAAAAAGCTGATCTTTCTTTCGTGCTATGATTGAAACCAATTATGTCTAAGTAACATAATATGCTGAAGCTTAGCACTTTGCATTGTGAGCGTAATGTGAAAGTTGTGAGAATATTGATGCTCTGATGGATATATATATGATTCTGTTAGTTTATTTGTTCCAGTTCTGTGCGATACTATCACGATCTTAGCCCTTCATTTGAATGGTGATTGTATACGTTTTTAACTCTTCTCATCTATTTTAGTATGTGAAATTGGAAATCGATGTACCATTTTATTAGATTTCTAGAAATGAAATATGTTGTTGCTTGCCTTAAGCTGGATTTTACTTATTCCAAACATTTTGTTCTTTTCCTTCTGAAAGAAGAATTTATCGTGTATGGCTTTATTAAGAGGTACTTTGGGTGGAATTGCAGGTTCTTCTCAGAGGTCCAAAGAATGGGCGTGAAGCAGTTAAACACTTTGGCCCAGCTCCTGGTGTGCCTCACAGCCACACTAAGCCTTATGTGCGCTCAAAGGGACGGAAGTTTGAGAGGGCCAGAGGACGAAGGAACAGCAAGGGATTTAGGGTTTGAGATGACTTTGGGCTTTTCATATGTTGTTGCAAACCAAATTTTGCTATACTTAAGGTTTTCATGTTATTTGTTCCCTTGTGTTTGTTTGGATTGTTTAATTATGGAATGATTTCTGGTTTGAGTATGACATTATCAATTGGGAATAAATAAGTTGTTTACTTATGAAAAAGTAAGTTGGCATTTTTCAATATATATTGCTCTGGATAAATGATTTTAAAAACCATTGAGATTCGAAACCAGGAAAATATAAGTTCCATTGATTCTCTGTGTTAAAGTTGCACTCTTCATTGTTTTCTCAGACCCAATAGCAGGGACTAACCTCATACTCATCAGCTTTATCCATGGAATTCTTCTTCCCAAAGACAATGGAAAACATGAAGCCTACTTAGGTGGTGTTTGTTTTTACTGTGTAAGGTCTGCAAAGCTCTTATGTCTGCGTCGCGCAGACCACGCGCAGACATTGGGCTTCGCAGACCGTTTGTTTTTAGAAGACAGAAGCCCTTCTAACGTCTGCGCGTGGTCTGCGCGGCGCAGACGTGGTCTTATGTCTTCAGACGTCTTCTAACCTCTTCAAAGAGGTTTTATTTAATTTTATATTATATTTTATTTTAATTTTAATATTAATTTTTAATAAATTAAATATTAATATTTTAATATTATATTATAGATATTAATTTTAATATTAATTTTTTAAATAAATTAAATATTAATTTTTTAATATTATATTATAGATATTTAATTTTATATCATATAAATATTTATATATTATTAAAATTTTATATTTATTTTAATTATTTTGATTTAAGTTTAAATATAATATTTTTTAGATTTGTTATTTTTAAATTATATTTAAACTTTTATACAAAATGTAAGTATTTAAACCACATTGCTTAATAAAAATGATTTCATTGTTTGATAATTAAGATTTTAAAATATAAAAAATTATAAATTATGTTTTTAAAATTTTAAAATATAATCACAATTAAATAAAAAATAATCATAAAATAATTTGATAAATTAAAAAATATTTCTAAAAATATCATATAATTATAAAAAAAATTAAGAATATATTTAAAAAATTAAAGTATTACAAAATTACATATTTAAAAAAATCATATAATTTAATGATCATTTATAAATTTTATTCTATAAAACTTATAAAACTAATAATACATGTGATTATGTGCGACGTATAATAGAATTAATAAGGTAGTGTTTGTTTTTTTAAAAAAATTATTATTGTAGTTGTATAAATTATTTAAATTTTAGTATTGTAAAACTAAAATTATTTAAATATCAGTATTACAAAACTCTTTTAAGTTTAAAAAATCAGTTTATTTATATTTCAGTTTATTTTAGCAGTTTGCAGACGTTAAAAAACAAATAGTCTTTTTCTTGCAGACTGCAGACTTTTGGTCCACCTCTTCTGCTGCAGATGCCTGCAGATGTGGTCTGCAGACTGCAGACATTTTACCTCTTCAAAAACAAACACCACCTTAGTCACAATTAGCATGAAAAGTTTTCAATTTCAGTTATTACTATTAAATTTCACTATTTAACTGGTCATAAAAAATATTTTTTTTAAAAGGTCGCGATATTGTATTACTTTATATTTGTACCGACTATAAATTATAATTGTTTTTTTTGGTACATTAAAGTTTAGGTAGGGGTAGGGTCCAACATACTTAAGATCCTATTGAGATTTAAATAAGAATTTATAGATTGTCCACCAAGAGTGACGGTGATAGGATTCGAACTTGACCTTACAAGCTCAAATTATTGAATCTCAACTACTTGTGTCAACACTCGTTGGCGACTAAATGATAATTGATAATTTTTTAAAAGTTAGTTAATTATAAATATTTTTATGTAAAAGTTATATTTTTTAGGGTGAAGTATAGTAATGGTCATTGAATTTTTCTAAATCTTTCATTTAGGTCCTCCAACTTTTAAAACTTGCAATACAATCCCCCAATATTTAGTCCGTTTGCAACATGGTCCCCGACGTAACCTGCCGTTTGACGCTATTACTCTGCCGCTAGTACATTTGCAATATGATCACTGAACTTTTCAGGCGCTTGCATTTAGGTCCCCCAAATTTTAAAACTTGCAACACAGTCCTCAATTTCATTCTAAACCCTAAATTCCTTTTCAATCTTGAATTTCCTTTTTTGCTTATCTCTTCTCATTTCCAGCGTAACTTTTCAGTCGGGGATGCATGAGAAATTCTAATATAACTGAATTATGTGGATGTGTTGACTTGAATAAGGGTCCATTGAGAGAAGACCCAACCAAGGGACTATCGGGACCATCAACGATTCAAGGTGTAATGTTAGATACATGTTATCTCAAGTGAAGCATAGATGTTCGATGAAATGCTTAGAAAAAAATGGGGTTAGAAATGCAGAGTTGACAAATACTACTAAGATGAACTAAGTATCATTGTTGAAAGTCACCAACAAAGCTGAAATTATTTTGTATAAATGATATATAATAATTCCTTCGTTAAATCCTTGTGGTTAAATATTTTCCAACAGACGATCAAATATAATGAAATCCCAAACAGTGCATTCACCTTTCAGTCTCTTTCGCAACTCGAAAGGCATCATGACATGGTCAAGTAGCTGCTTCAAATATACTACCATGTCATGATGCCTTCCGAGTTGTGTGCATACAGAATTGTTTTCTAAATCTATAATTCAATACAATTTAACTGTAAAATTTCCAAAACATGTAAAAAAATCCAATTCGTTCATGATATATCAGTCCCACAATCAACATGAACTTATTAAAAAGAATACGAACTCACAGGACGCCGAAAACCATAGGTCGGATCAATACGATTCCTAGTAAACTAGTACCAACAGTCTCTCAGATTGAACCTGGCGATTTCACTATGTCGATACTCACAACCAATTCCATGATTTAAAGAAAAACCAAACAAGAAGATCAAAAAAAAAAAGTTAGCCTAGGACCCTAATTCACTTCTATTCTGATGGACTGAATATCTTTCATAAGGAGTACTAAAAGTTTTGATTAAGAAGAAATAAAGAAAATTAGATGGTTTTTGTTCAAAACTAACACTGAATATCCAGATCATTGACGTGCAGTTCCAGAAACATAAAAATTTCAATAAAAACACACAATGCGAGCTGAAAATGGGAAAGTGTGAAAGAGGAAAAGCTAACTTCCGAATAGCTCAAAAGAGAAAATAAATACCTTCTTGCAAGTGAGGGGAGAGGCTAAGAAATAAACGCAATCGGTGTTGCATTCCAGCAATTCTTCCTCCATTTTTTCTTTGTAAATAAAAAAATGAAAGACAGAGCACTGATTGGGTTTACAATTTTACATGGCGGAAAATTGAAGAACAAAAACCAAACGAGAGTACATGTGAGCGAAAGAGACTGAGAGGTGAATGTGTTGTTTGGAATTTCATTATATTTGATCATCTGTTGGAAAATCTTTAACCACAAGGATTAAACAAAGAAATTATTATATTCCATTTATACAAAATAATTCCAGCTTTGTTGGTGACTTTCAACAATGATACTTAGTTCATCTTAGTAGTATTTGTCAACTCTGCATTTCTAATCCCATTTTTTTTCTCACAAGGATTTCATCGAACATCTATGCTTCACCTGAGATGACCTATATCTAACATTACACCTTGAATCGTTGATGGTCCCGATAGTCCTTTGGTCGGATATTCTCTCAATGGACCCTTATTCAAGTCAACACCTCCACATAATTCAAAGTTAGATTAGAATTTCTCATGCATCCCCGACTGAAAAGTTACGTTGAAAATGAGAAGAGAGAAGCAAAAAAGAAAATTACTGATCGAACTGAATTTGGGGTTTAGAATGAAATTGAGGATTGTGTTGCAAGTTTTAAAAGTTGGGGGACCTAAATGCAAGCATCTGAAAAGTTCAGTGACCATATTGCAAACATACTAACGATAGTGTAACGATGTCAAACGGCCGGTTACATTAGGGACCATATTGCAAATGGACTAAATGTTGGGGGATTGCATTGTAAGTTTTAAAAGTTGGGGGACCTAAATAAAAGCTTTAAAAAAGTTTAATGACTATTACTATACTTTACCCTATTTTTTTTATTAATTTAGGTTAAATCTAAAGTAATATATATGAAATCAACCTTTTTGACATCGTGAATGTCTATTGTGCTTGAACCTTATTCCTTAATGAATAACAATAATTTTTTTATTATAGAAGTTACTTAATTTGTACATGTAAAAGTCTTTTTTAATAAAAGTAAATCAATAAATGATTATTAGCATAATAATAAAATATTTGTTTGTAGAAGTATTGAATCATGTGTTTAACAATGAAAATAATATACTTTTTAATTTATTTAAGTATTTATAAACTTTTGAAAAAATAGAAACATCCCTAAAATAATATATATTCGACTTAAAAATATACTATTTTTTAATCAAAGCCCCGAATTCAACCCATTCAACGATACCCAACTGCACTGAAACAAATCTCAACCTCTCCAAATAAATGCCATTCAAAATCAGGATTGTCTCAGGAAAGGTGGGCTAATATACGGCGTTACCGAATACATTAAAAGATATTTAACAAATTCGGTTTAGCGCTACCGGAAATGTTAAATAATAATGTAGTAGGTTTAAATCATGAAGAAATATTAAAAAATTTGGCAACCGACAAACTTGGCTTGTCGGTTTATGTCGATACTTTATAAAAATGTATCGATCCACATCAATATAACAGGAAAAAAATATGATAAAACCGGTCACGAAAAGACAAAACCAGTAAAGCGCTACCGGATATATTGCATGTGTCGATACTTTAATATAAGTATCGACATATAGTGAATTTAAAGGAGAAGCAGTTTTAGCGCCTATAAAGTGTCGATTCTTTATAAATATGTATCGATCCACAACGATATAACATGTAAAAATATGACAAAACCGGTCAGGAAAAGACAAAACTGGTAAAGAGATACTGGATATATTGCAAGTGTCGATACTTTAATATAAGTATCGACACATTGTGAATTTAAAGGAGAAGCAGTTTTAGCGCCTATAAAGTGTCGATTCTTTATAAATATGTATCAATCCACAACGATATAATAGGTAAAAATATGACAAAACCGGTCAGGAAAAGACAAAACCGGTAAAGAGAT